TACAACATAAACAATAAATCCCTAATTGTGACACCACTAGAATCAACCACTGTTACATTACCGATATAGATTCTGCCAGTGACCATAAGTATATCTTCACTCAATTGAACACTACTAGTAATACTAATAATCATAGTTTTCACTATACTCGCACTAACTGGCAATTATTTCACAAAACCTTCAATAACATTTCAGCTGGTGCCCCTCACCACAGTCACTATACTCAGGACACCTTAGACCACTTTGTCACCAGGTTTACAAAAACAATCACTAACTCTTATGTTATTGCCTCCAAGCTCAAACATTGTAAACACAGAAAGGTTCCTTGGTGGACCACTGAGCTAGAAAACAAGAAAAAAGTTGTTAAAAGATTAAGGAGGCAATTTAGAAATGAACAGGACTGGACATTAAAGTCACACTTAGAGACCAGTCTAGGCATGAACACAATTCTTACAAAACCCTTATAAATAAAACAAGGACTAACACTTGAAAGGATTTCTGTACCAATACTTGTGGTTGCAACTCCTGGTCTGAACCATACTACTTAGCTTGTAAGGAAAAATGCCAGCTCTAAATCCCCTCCACTATCCAGCTCCCTGATGGTCGATACACCAACAACATGGAAGAAATTATCATGCACATCCTCACCAGCCTTTACCCTTTGGATGACCCACAGCAGGAAGACAATACACATGCAGTCATCTGGAGTTCTACACTCACTCCATTTAATACAGTGACCACAACTTCACCTACATTGAGGTTTCAAATGCCATCTGTTCGCTCACCGATAACAAAGCCCCAGGCCTTGACAGCATAACCTCTGAGATGATAAAACACACATTTGAGGCCAATCCTATAGTGTTTGTAATTCTCTTTAATATCTGCTTGAACACTGGCCTTTTTCCTACTCAGTGGAAAAAGGCTAGTGTCAAATTGATTCCCAAACCCACCAGCGCTAACACTTACAAAAAATACTCACTTTTCTCAGAGTTGGGAGAAGGCAGATCTGCCTTCTCCCAACTCTGAGAAAAGTGTTAGATGGTCTAATGATCACATGGCATCTAAGCAAGCATAGAGCCCTATATCAGAATCAGTTCGGCTTCTCTAAAAACAAAGGTACAGTAGATGCCATCCATCAGGTTGTTAACTACATCCACCAGGCTAAACAAAACAATCAGCATACTGCAATTATCACTATTGACTTTAGAGGTGCCTTTGATCATGCCTGGTGGCCTTTTATCATTAAGACCACCAGGCATGAATACAATGCACACATTACACCCTCGTCACTGCCCTCAAAATCTTTACAAACTTCTTTAGTCCTATCTTAGTAACAGGAGTGCAGGTGTTTATACAACACAAAATAACATAGCCTTGAGTGATGGGTATGACTATCTTCAGGGTTCCAGGTCTGGTCCTGGAACATAGCCTATAACTCTATTCTGCACTTAAATGACACCATGCCTCCTAGCTGCCACATACAGGGCTTTGTGGACTACACAATTATCCTAACTTCACACAGGATCAGTGAACGCTTACAGGACATATGCAAAAACATTCTCAATAACATTCACCAGTGGAGTATTAAGCATAGGCAACCAATTAACACAGATAAATGCAAAAGCATGATAGTTGTCAGGAAGCTTACCCTTCAAATAAGTGCTCACAGAGTAAAGCAAACAACAAAAATTAAATATTTAGGTGTTATTCTTGACAAGTGACTTAACTTCACACCTCATATCAAATACATCATGGACAAAGCGAAAAAGACGGCCACTGCCCTCATAAGTATTGCTAGGATCACATGGGGCCTTGGCCCTAATGCTACTAAGCTTATTTACAGGGGTGCAATTCAGCCAACACTCCTCTATCCCTGGGCCACTTGGCTGCCAAAGTCCAAAACCATAAAAATCTGTTATATGTTCAAAGGATTGCAGATCTCCACATTTGTAAGGCTTATAGGACCGCACCCACTAGTGCCATTTTGGTAATGTTAGGATTGACCCCTATTGACTTAGAAATTAAACGCATTATTTGGCAGGAAAATCTCATCACCTCACCCTGGTGAGACTATAGTGACTCGGATGTCGACAAAATGATTAGAATAGGTAAGATTCTTCCCAGTTTGACGTTGATCAAAAAATTCAGCATTGACAAAAATACTCTCCTGACTTACGATTACCACCCCTCCCACCAGCTTGCCCCTGACATTTACTTTGAAGATCCAGGTGATCATTTCATGTTTAGGATTTACACTGACGGTTCCAACATGGATGACGAAGTGGGTGCCATTTTTATAGTTTACTCCAACTTAGGCCACGAGCTTCACAACGTTTGCTTCCGTCTTGGTGTACAATGCTCAATAGCACAGGCAGAAACTTTAGCTATTTATATGAACTTAATTCACATTAGGCGTAGAAAGGACAAAAGACTAAACTATCACATTTATTCTGACAGAAGGGTAGCTTTACACAGGATTGCAAAGTCTGATAGCCACTTAAAACTCATCCATCTCATACACCACATTCTCAGACAATTGGACAACAATATTAGAATAGATTTCCAATGGGTCCTGGGTCATGCAGAGGTTCTTGGCAACAAGATTCCTGGCCATCTTGCCAAACAAGCTGCAGTCTTCAGTTACATTTCTACTTCATATATCAACAATCACGTCAAGAAGCAAATTTTCATTCTCTGGCAAGATAGCTGGGACCATTACACCACTGGTAGGTTCACATACACCTTCAGGTTGACACTACTGCAATTCTTCACCACTTTTACTCTAGTTACACTCTCACTCAGCTACTTACAAGACACAGCAACTTTAAGCAAAAGGGGTTAAGCATTACTTGCATAGATTTAATCTTGGGGACAACTCACAATGCGACTGTGGTATTCACGAGGACCAAACACCACTTCACTTAGTTTTTCACTGCAATATTTACAATCACATTAGGGGTAGTTTAATGAGAGCTGCTATTCTTGAAGGGTACAACTGGCCTTGCAACCCACACCAACTCATTCACACGTGTGCAATGTTCCATTCATATCCCTTTGTGGGGCTCTTGAGGGCAATCGCTCCGGGGCATGGATAGCAATTAGCTTTCCCTTGCTTTGTTTCAACTGTCGGTATATAGCTGCCTTTCAACTTTGTATTTTAATTCTTATTTTCTGTCTTCTTTTTCAGTCTAAATTCAGTTATTACTAGTTGTAAGTTAGATTAGGGATGCTTAGCTTTGGGTTTAGGTTCCAGTTAGGTTATGATAGGTTAGATTAAATTAGATTAGGGTTTGTTAGCTTTAATTGTCTTGTTAGGTTTGTTCTAGGTTATGGTAGGTTAGTTTAGTTAGTGAGTAACTAAAATATGTGAACCTTTAATACGTTAACTTTAATACGTGAAACTGCATAATACGAAATCTCACTTAGAAATTAAACATTTTTTTTAACCCCTTCTGGGTTCTTCCTCAGGCAAAAGAGGAGCTAGATCTTCTGAAATGAATATGAACATAAAAACTTTTGAAGCTAGTTGAACAATGTAAAATTCGAATATTCAGATTTTTTTAACATATCCATTTACACAGAGAGTTTAAAAATGTTCTAAACTTTTTTGCCAGAGGAAGAACACAGAAGGGGTTAGGAAAATGTTTGATTTCTAAGTGAGATTTTGTATCACGCAGCAGTTAAAGATTTACATAAATAAAATATTTTGGTTATACATCCCACTGTGTGGATTGGCTTTATGTTAGTGAGTAAGTTAACTTTAAAAAAAATAAATAATAAAGAAATAAAAATTGATGTCTTGCTCATTTGTCTTCTGTCTGTCTGTTCGTCTTGTCTAGTTAGTCGTGTTCATTTGTTTTTCGCACTGTCTGTCTAGCAGTTACATAGTATTAAGATTTGCACTTGCATTCAGTTTTATTTGTATTAAGTAGATAAAAGTCTTTCTACTAATAACCACTTGGCACTAACTTCAACATTTTAGGCGGCACTCAATTATTGGTGTTTGCTACACTCAGGTTTTCTTTTAGACCCTTCAGGGGACTATGGCCTTGCAGCCTAAAAACTGCATGCCAACATCAAATATAGAGGGTACTATAGCCATATGTACGCCATTCAGAGGGATCCTACCTTTCTCTGCTGTCTATCTCCTCTTCCTCCTTCTTCCCCTCCCCTTTCCCTTACCGTCTTTTCTGCTGGCTAAACACTTCATGTACGGCCGCTATTTTTTTTGTATGTATGTATGTATTAGCAGAAACTATTAGCATCTTTAGCTTTTTCCTTTCTTTAGTAACTTTTTTTGAAGTTTATGAGATATTTCTAAATTAATTGTTATTTGTTTGTTTATTTAAATTTGAATTTTATCATATTTATATAAATATATAACATTATATGTTTGGTGTAATTATATCTTAATATTTTTAGCTCTTGCCATATAAAGTTAATTTTCATGAATACAAGATAGTTTGAATGCCTCAAATAAAATCAAGTCATACTATTATTAATATTAGAAAATTAATCAAGGTTACAAATATAAAATTTTTGAAATGCCAAAATTAAAAATTAAATTCTCTGAAGTTAGTAAAGACAACAGCTAAATAATGTATTCAATTCATTGCATGGTACTCTGTTGATTGAACCAGCTCAACCTAATAAGTATAAACAATTCTGATACATTAAATGACTCAATCGATGATTTAGTGGATTTTTTCTTAATATAATTCAATGTGTAATTTAGAGCTAAGAAACAGGTTTTTTTTTCATATTTTGAACATTTTCATATTTATTTAAAAATTAATATAGCAAATCATTTAAAAATGATTTCCTATAGTAATTTAATAAATAAAACTGTATAATTGTTATTACATGAATATACTGTATACAAAAATTTCAATTAACTGTTCTTTTACAAATTTTTTATATGCTATTACATAGTTTATATTATTTCCTATTAGTTAATATTATTTTCTCTTCATAAATGCAATTAGTTTTTCTTTATATAGCCAAATGAACTAAAGCAGCCAATGATTTTTGAGATGGCATTAGTACAGCACCAAGTAAGATATTTAGGGTAAGTTTTCAATATAATATATTTTATATAAAAATAAATAATACGATATTAAATCAATTAGTGATTTAACCAATGTATTTAAAATAATTTCTCTCATTCTTATCACATTATAAAAACAAAATGTTTTATCAACTAACATAGTTGTCTGCAGAAAATTTTCCAGTGGGGCAAAGATAGCAGACAGATGATTATATCAATAAAGTTTTATTTAATTATTTAATTTTTTAGGTTTTTTCCCACAAGTAGGTTATAGAATACAGTATTACATCAAAGCATACCATAATTGCAAGTGTAAGGTCACATAGCTTCATTACTTTTATGATTATAATTTGTAGAACTTATATTCAATTCCAGGGAGGGACAAGTAACCCATTTGTCCCCGTCTGCATGTTAACATGAAAATTTTTATTTTTAATTCTTTGTTTAATTTATATAGCAATAATGTATCTGTAGTGTAATCTATATACCATATTGGCCCTAATAAAATATTAGTCCCCGTCTGCATGTTAACATGAAAATTTTTATTTTTAATTCTTTGTTTAATTTATATAGCAATAGTGTATCTGTAGTGTAATCTATATACCATATTGGCCCTAATAAAATATTAGTCTATGTTGCTTTTTCCAATTTTAAAGGAAAATAAATTTCCCTCAAACTGTATTTTTAGCCTTGACTTATATTTGAGTCTGATTCAAGTCCTCTCCAATTTCAATACTTGCTGTAGTTGCATGTTGTGCAGATTCAAACTTGCTCTAAAATTCAATTCTTTGATTGTTCAGCAGCACTAAACCAATTTGTGAACTGCCCACAAACTATGCATGGGAATTAAGTGTTTTCCACAATTGTAAATAATGAATTAGTCTATTGTTTTTGAAAAATTCACCAAAATAAAATTATAAAACTTACCAATTGAATTAGTCAATTGACTGTTTCAATTGGTAATTTTACAGAAATTTTATTTTATTTCTAGGAATCTCTACTAATCAAACAATGATCAAAAATTGGGGAAAAAGGTTGCTGAAAAGTTACCATAAAATTCATTTTGTTGTAAAGAATAAATTTCTATTATAATCATATTGAATGCACAAATTTATAATTACATAAAAATGTTAAAACATTTTTCTAAAGCTTATCTATAAACAGTTATAGAAAAAATAAGACAAGCAAAAAGAAACATAGACTTTTGGTTTTGATACTCAAAAGTGCAAGTATACTTTTTGGAATACATGTAAATTATGCAAGGAAACCTTCTTTTCCTGATGTGATGTTTATACTAGGCAGTTTACAACCAGGCATATAAAAAATTAATAAAAATTATGAAGCAATATGAAACAACTTCATATTTATTGATATTGACAAAAAAAGCAATTGAGAGGTTGTGGCCAACGTTTTCAGCCCAAAACATGAATGTCAGACATCGAGCACCGCCATCTGGCAATTCTAGAAGGTTGATAATGGCGTTTGCTCTGTCTAGCATGGTGAGTAGAAGTTCGGCTTAAACTTCATTTTTTTGTGTTTGAGGTCAAATTATGATGTATTTTATAAAATGATTATTTAAGCATTTATGAATAATAATGTAAAGAAATAGATGATTTTAATCCAGAAATTATTTAATTATTCAATTTTTTTGCAAGTGATGTGAAGTGCCTATAGCATTTACATATATTTCTGTTCATAATAGCTTATCATAATTCTGTAGGAGTAGGTTTGTTTTTCACAGCATCTTCTACCATCTTCAGCATAATATGTTTGTAAATTTTCTAAAAATAATTTCTTGAGCTGCTTTTGGATTTACATAAGCCACTACTTCCCTCAACAAAAGTATGAGGTAGTCCTATCATATGATAGGGGAGAAAATGCTAATTAAAAATAATTATTTAGTGTTATTAAATTTCCTATAAATACTCTAAAATAGTTTAATTTGTTTATTTACCTTCGTTTATTCGTCATTGTTAAACATTTTCAGCATTTTTCAATAATATCCCAAGAGTCAGTGCGTGATGTGAACATGTGGTGCAACATGTTTTACTTCGAGTTCAAACATCAAACGTGTACTTCTGCTTGCCGTACAAAACATTTGAACTTCAGCACAACCTCTCTAATAAGTTATAATTTATCATTTAAATGCATTGGACACCTAATTATATTTCTTTCTATAAAACAAACTCTTTGACTATAATTTTTTAATCAGTTAAATATGATTTAAATGCAATTGGTAAAAATTACTAAGAAAGTAATCAAAAATTAATTTATAATGATTGATTCAGAGATATTTGTAAATAGAAATTTTAAACATTTTAATTTTTAAATAAAGTAATTTTAAAATGAACGAAATGTAATTAAACAGAACTAATTTTTATAATTAATTGCATATAAAAAAATCACATAAAAATTCACATATTTTTGTAAAAGTTAGAATGAGATAAAAACAACAAGAGACATCACTTATTAATAACAAAATATAAATCTAAAAACTGTCTATTTGCATTACACATAAAAACATTTAATTGACGAGTACTTTAGACAGTATATAACTGTCTTCTATGGGTAATATAGTGAATAGAACATTAGAAATCTAAAGAAAGAACACATTTTAAAATTGCACTTATACATATGAGCATAGAACATAAAAACGTCAGAAGAGAGGAGGTGATCTGCACACATGTTCAGCAGTCTCCCGTTTGTTTCAGCATGTTGGAATTAATTTGCCTGATGATGCCTGTTCAACACAAGTGAAAAACATTTGCAGTTTTTATTTAAAAGATTTGCTGATTTATAGGTTTAGTGTTTTTTAATAAAAATGTCAGGTATAAAAATACAAAGTATATTTATATTACACTATTACAAAATAAACATGATATATATGATGACTATGGTTAATAAAATTAATGGAATTAATATGCACAAAAATAATTGATAGCAGTATAAAGAAAATTCAAACAAAGCACAAACACTGGAGTGTCATTGACATCTCTGTTTTTGTTACATAATTTCACTGCCTATGATTTTAGAAGTTTAACAGTGCAATCCACAGTTCTGATATATCAAGTGTGGAAGAATTGCATGGAAACATTGATGTAATGAACAAAGATTCCCATATGAACAAAATTCTCTTTTCCCACAGTGTTTCATCAAAACTTGTGACCAAAGAAGATCAAAATTATATTCCATCACTTTTTTGGCTAGCTCTGTTGTACACCTCCTATGTATGATATCTTCACAATGCTCTGCCAGACAGGTATGGAGCATTCTAGCAGTGGCACCTATATAATAGTTTTGACACCATTAATGGATTTTGTAAAGGTATAGTGTAAACTCCAGATTTTTCAAAAAGTGTAAAGCCTTCTATAAAGTTAGAACACCAGTAGAATTATGAAAGATTGTTGGTAGTAGTAGGAGTAAGACAGGTGTCACTCTTTGGTACGACCTGTGTTATGGAAGAAGAGGGAAGATGGGGTGAGGTGAGAAAGGAAAGGGGATGAAAAGAAAAGGGTTGGGATCCATGGGTGTCTCATGATGGTGTTTTATAAGGAATGATCAGCAGAAAAAAACAATAACAATAACAAGAATGTTAGAGGAATACAGGTTGGGAGTGCCACGTTACAGATCGCAAACAGCACTAACATATGAACAGGTAATAACGTAAATACAGTGTGCAGATTAATAATGTTACAAGAAATTACATGTTGGGAGCTGTCTGACAAATCGTAGACAGTACAAACATAATGACAGACGAATGTACATTATGCAGATTAACAATAGTACAATAGTTACGTGGGGAGTAATATGTGATAACGACAGATAACACAAACGTATTAATAGGTAACAAACATGAATGCAGAATAATATTGGTACAAATTAGTTACATGTTGAGTTTTATTTGGCAAATCGCAGATAGAACAAACATAAAAACAGATAAATGTATGTACAGAATGCAGATTAACAGTGCGTAAACTAGATACAGGGTGGGTGCTAAGTGCCAGAATATAGGTAGCCCGAACAAATTAACAGGTTACAAACGTATATACAGTTGACATTACCAGGGTTACACTAAAAGCATAGACAGTGATTTTTATTAATGCGTGGTGTTAACATTTTAGTTCAGTAGATTTGCATGACTACGAGGGAACAGCCACTGATTAGTGTTTCTCGTCCTCTCTGTAAACACTTTGATGCTCTGCAGGTAATTATTCAGATGATTATACATGTCTTTCTCATATATTAGGGCTTGTAGAGGACACGGCCAGTTATGGTTGTTATGAAGTGCAGCCTCAATGAGTCTATCTCTTTTGCTGTCGAAGAGTGGACAGTCAAACAACAGGTGAAGGTAGTCTTGTTTGGCATTCATGTTGCACCTGCAGGTCTTGCTGTCCCATAGCTGGAATCGGTGGAGGTAAGCATTGAAGTTCCCATGGCCAGTGAGAACTTGAGTCAGGGCGAAGTTGGGAACAAAATGCCTGCAACTCAGTCTGACAGAGATGTCTAGAATGAAGCCATGAGTGGGATGGCCTGTAGTGGAGTTGTTCCAGTCTTCTTGCCAAGTTTGCAAAAGTTGGTTATAGATCCATTTATGGATAGTGGACGGCAGTATCTTACTGTAAGAACAAGGAAGGGATGAGACCGCAGCTCTTTTGGCGAGAGCGTCAGTTTGTTTCGTGCCCCTCCACCCCAGAGTGGACATGGACCCAGTTAAGGGTGATGTTATGGTGGTGGTTATTACTGATAAGTATTTTCTGAATGATGGTAACATTGTAGCCATTGTTGTTGGTGTTGGAAATTGAGCGAAGAGTTGTAATGCTGTCTGTGTAGATGGCTATTTTCTTTTTACGGGGGAACCAGTCTTCATTGATGTGGTGGAATGCGTTGGTGATGGTGAAGATCTCCGCCTGTGGGACGGAACAGTATTTACCAAGCTTGAAAGCAGACCGGTGAGTAATATTGCCTGCTTTGTTGTACACGATAAAAGCTGTGCCCACTTGATCCTCTTGCTTGGAACCGTCCATGGTAAGTGAGGTCCTGGATGTTCATGGAGAGTCATATCTATATAGGAGTTTGGAATTTTCTTCTCGATACTGTTGGTAATGAGGTCTTGGTAGATTTTGTCAGGAAAGTTTGGAAGGGTTTTGTGCTGAATTTTATCTTTCCAATCATGTTATTCATATTCCAAGACCACATAGCTACTCTAATTTTAAGGTATAGAGGGCAGAGTCCGCTTATGACCAGAAGGGCCGAGGTGGGCACAGTGCGGTAGGCCCTGGCAGTTTGCAATGCTGCAGTTCTCTGGACTTTGTTAAATTTTTTGATATTTGCTTGCTTGAAGGTGGCCTTTCCCCAGATAGGGTCAGCATAAAGTATAATAGGCTCTACGGCACCCAAATATATATATTTGATAGCATTATATCTGATCCCCCAGTTATTGGCTGCTATACTAATCAGTTTGTTGGAGACTACTGTTGCCTTTTTGCAAATGTTGTCGATGTGCTTCATCCAGTGCAATTTTTCATCCAGAGTTACCCCAAGATACATTAACTCCTTTGTCCTAGAGATTCTTGTATTGTTAATTTTTGTGGTTGGGCTTTTTTGAAGGCTAGTGTTTTTTGGAAAAATGATGTACTTACACTTGTTGTAATTTGTAGGCAGTTTACTATCAGTGCTCCATTTGTAGATGGTGTCCATTATTATATTGCATAGGGGGGCCAGATTGTCAGAGTTTTTGTCTGAAACAAGGGCCACCGTGTCATCAACGTACCCTTGCACCAAGAAGCCCGTAATCCTGTTGCACATGTTCAGAAGGTCATTGTGAACTAGAGTCCAGAGGGTCAGGCTGGTTATAGACCTCTGAGGGCAACCCTTGGCTGTTTGATGAGTACAGGAGAGATTGTTTGTATAAAAGCCAATCTGTCTATCTTCAAGAAAGCTACTCACGATATTAAAAATGTTATTAGGGCAGTGATATTCACGGAGTTGATGCAGGATTTCTGGCCACCATAAGTTATCAAACGCTCCTTGGAAATCAATGGAAATTAGAACAATGTGTTTACGATCTTTCTTGGCTTTTTCAATATTATCAATGATTGAGGCCAAGGGCTGTGGTAATTGACCTACCAGGAACAAATCCATGTTGGTGGATATTGATATAGTTTTTCTTCATATGGTGGTTGGTGATACGGTTGGTGATAAGTCTGTCCAGGATTTTACCCATGATTGGCAGAAGGGAAATGGGTCTGTAGTCTCTGGGGCTAGTGGGTGGTTGTTTACTGTTTTTTAGTATAAGTTTGACTGAGGCAGAACAATAGATGGCCCCCTTAATAATGAACAAACCCATAAAGATAAAAGTAAAACTAAACATACCTTTTAAAAAAAAACATCATAAATAAATCTTTTTTTCCTTTCCATTCTTTCCTTCTCTCATCTTCACCTTTTTTTTTTTTTCCCTTCTCCTTTTCCTTTCTACAAAAGGATATGTGGAAACCTAGTGTGAAGAACAGTCATAAAGAAGTTTTTTACAAAAGGATTGAAACTTTAAAAAATCAAGTAAAAGTAGATCTTTGATGGTTACAGCAGTCTTTTGGTACCTGAAGAGAAATTATTTAAATGTAACGTTAAGGGAGGCAAATGAGGAATATAAACATATAAGATCTCTAAAGTTAAAAGAAGGTACTTGTAAAAGAAAAAATTTAGAAGGAAGGAGACCATTAAAATATTTATAAGAATATATTCTGTAAAAATTATCAATATTTTAAAAAAAAGTCAGTGACCAAAATTTATTATTACCATCTATATCCAATAATAACAATATTTAAATTTTATAATGTAGATTAATATGGATGAATTATAAACCTTTCATAAATACTGTAATTTCAAAATTTTGCTTCAAAATTAATTTTGATCAGATATATTGTAAATTAAATGTATTTCGATAAGTTTGATAAGGCACTCCTCACTTAATGATCAAGTTCTGTTTCTACAACTAGGTTGTTAAGCAAATTGGACAATAAACAAGGAGCTTGATTGTGTCATTTATTCTTGTTAAAGAAATGTCTAAAGGAAATTCCAACTTCATAACTTTCTTTTAATTTGCATATTACAAAAATATAAAATATAATCAGCATAAATTATTAAAATGCTGTATCAAAATAAATTTAAATTCATTCATTTAAAAAAGTCATTCAGATTAATGTTTTAGTTATCAAATTTTTCAAAGAGTGATAATGGATCCAGGTCATCAGTGTCAACATTGGAGTTATCAGTAGGATTATCAGGAGTTGCTGAGGGTCATGATAAGTGAGATGACTGCAAAGAAACAGATGTACTTGTAAGGGTAGGAGTCCTGGATATAGCTTTCAAGAAGAATCTTGTTAGCATGATCTGTTTTGTAAGTTTCCTTTTTTATTATAAATTTTACAACAGCATCATAAAAGTTCATTCATTTGCCATCTCACTTTTGTGAACCATTCAACATTCGGATTCATACCCTCTAATTTTAATATAGCTACATTCAATTTGAGAACACAACAACTAATTTCTTTACAGTGGACTTCTTTTGTACTTCTATTGTTTCCTCTTCTTCCTCTTCTGAATGCTGCTATGCTTTCAATTCTTTTGCCTTTCCTTTGATTTTTGGTGCTTCCTCCAGATGAAGACATGCTCTTTCTTTTTGCTGACATCTTATACTATGTGGTGCACAATAAAGTAAATTAATAAATGAAATGTATAGATACAGCTAAATGGGAAGGACTTATCATATCAGGACAAGCTGATCATCAGACCTATCACAACATCATCCCATTTATTTATGTTGTTCAGCTATTAGTTTTAATGTAGATTTGGGAGCTAGAAGTGTACTCAATTTAGAAATGTGTAGTCTTGGAGATTGTGAACACTTTATACAGAAATACTGATCAATGACTGCAGAAACAAGACTAAGATTACAAAAGGGAATTCTGTGTGTGCTGGAGAGCTGGTTGTAAGTGTGAGAGGTCATTAAACAGGTAGGCCATTAAGTGAGAAGTGGCTATGTTCTGAAAAAAATATTTATAAGAATAGTCTATTACATGTATTGAAATGTTGAATAAGAGAGATTAAATATTATTCATCCTCTACATATTTCAAATCCATTTTGTTATTTAATTTATAATAATTTCCACTAGTATCTTAACTATTATCTATATATGAGATTATTATTCAAAAATATTATCAGATCAGTTAAAGTTGTCATAAATGAATAAATTTATAGCATTTCAGATAAAATTCAATTTTTTTTTATAATTATTTTTATAATTTTACTAAAGAAGACTCTATTAATTAATAAACACACTCAATTTTAAATGAATATTTATTTTTCCAATATAGATTGATGGAAAATGTAAGGATAAGGAAAGCAGGCTATGCTTATAGATTAGATTATGAATCTTTTCTACAGCGATATAAATTGCTTTCTATTCAAACATGGCCAAATTGGACAGGATTAACTGTAGAAGGTGTAATGCATTTGTTGAGAGATCTCCCAATCCATCCATCAGAATATACATTTGGAAGAAGCAAAATTTTTATCAAAAATTCTCGAACAGTAAGAAATTTAAATTTTAGATATTAATTTAATAAATATTTATTTAAATAAAATTATTAACTTTTAGAAATTCTTTACTTAATTATTTTATATTATTCCTTTAAAAATTTATTTTTTAACATGTGTTAGATGTATAGACAAGAATAAACATGTAAAGTACTATATTATTTTTCCGACTTTCCAACGATTATCTACGCGGATTCGCGTTAGTGTGCCAGGCCTGGACTTTAAGCGTGCACCGAATTAAATAATGACAAAGTTTGTCAATAACAAAATCAAATATTTAATTAAACTTCTAGTAATAAACTATATACAGTATTTAGTAAAAATCAAACAATAATTTATTCAATGAAATTCAACAAGAATCAAACCGACAAACTCAAATCAATCTATTTCTAACTTAATTCTATTCCCCTTTGGAATTCGACAAAATCAAAGAATTAACTTATAAACAATAATTCTTATAAATTAAAGATCCTAATCGTCACCTCAATATACTAGGAACCTATTTCCTCAAACTCTCAAGACTTTCTATAATCGTCGATCCACAAATCGAATAACTTCAAAATCCTATCGGACACCTCTCTCGTTCACTGCTACGAAGCTCACCAAAGCTCGTTGCTATCAGGAATTCACCTCGTTCGTTTTCACTTGAGTTAGAGGCTTTATAGTGTGAGGTGACGTCACAATTCTGAATGAGCTCACTCTCCTCATTTACATACTTATCTGTAACATTAAATTTTTCTTGTTTATCTGGCAGATTATTTTCCGACAATACTTCGCTAACCTTTTACATTATTCTTTTTAACAATTATCGGGATGCTTTATTCTTTTAAGGTTTAGCGATTCCTAACTGGGTTGTGGGGTCTTCCCCCCCTTTTTTTCGGTGCGGACTTACTTTTTCCCGCTTGGGAAGCGCAAGTGTGCGCGAGTTTTTCTACGGCGCTTTTCTTTCGTCGGTGAGTTGGTTTTTCTTCTATTTTTAAGTTACTAAGGTGAATGGTGAGGAAACCTTCGTCTTAACTAAACATAAGCCCCAAACAAAATATAATGAAAGCAAAATAAAAGTAAAATAAAAATAAAGCTCAGACTTGGTTCCTTACAAACAAAACTGTCTTTCAGCATTAGAATTGTTTACTTGCAAAGTTTTTAATTACAAAAACAAGTACTTTCAACATTTGGGTATGTCATCTTCAGGTTGAGCATATACTGTATATTTCAGTGACAATTTCTTAAAAAGTAACATGTATTTTAAAAAATCATTTAAACACTGAAGCAAATTTTTGTCAAATTTAGTGTTCAAACTCTGAAGCATTTCAAGTTATTTAAAGTATAAGGTACTACTATACATGAATACTTGTTGGATGAGTGGTAACAAAGTGTGTAAGTTAGACAAACTCCTAACTTGATATCTGAAGCCTCAAGGCTATGTTAATGTCCACCATCATTATATGGCAGCTCTATACTGCAGATGTAGTGTTGGAAATTTATTTGGATAAACCTTGCAATAATGATTTACCTTAGAAAAATATAATATACAGCACTGTTTGTTGCATTACACAAAAAGAATTTATTACCCAAGTATTTTCAACAGTGTACAATTGTCCTCTTCACGCAAATCATTTATGGAGAACACAACATTTAAATTTAAGTAATAGAACCTGAATAGGAAAGACATTTTTCAAATTGCTTGTCCCACACATGCATGGAATATAAATTACATGCAGTGTAATTCAGAACTCTTGGGACAAACTTTAAGGAGTGGTAGAGCACACAATAAAAACTATTTTTGTATAGGAAAGTATGAGCACAAGTGTCATATGAGGCACAAACACAAGAAATAACACATAAAAGGAAGCATAAATTATTTATTTATAGCATCATTGACAATTGCATCTTTACAGCAATGTTTACAATAATTGCTCAAATTGTGTCCACCAACAGCATTGATGCAGTGATTGACATACAGTTTCAAAGATGTCAGGTATTTCTTGCACACATGCAGCCACAATGGATATTCAAGTGACAAAGTCCTCAACAAAGTCAAGATGCCCCATAAGAAGTAATTGAGGCTCGATAAATTGGGCAATCAGAGTGGTCAACAAACTGGTCTACTACAGCCAATCCATTGCACCCAAAAGTGGCATCCAGGTAATTGCACTGCTAAGTGCGTATTACTGTCAGTGGATGCAATTTTAAGCAATTATTGTAAACATTGCTGTAAAGATGCACTTGTCAATGATGCTGTAAGTAAGCAATTTTTTTTTCTTTCCTGTGTTATTTCTTGTGTCTCAATGTATCACTTGCACCTATTCTTTTCTGTTTTCAAAAGAGGTGGTCAGAGCACACAACAGAAAACAAAAAATGTTTTCTGTTGTGTGCTCTGACCACCTCTTAAAGTTTGTCCCATGAGTTCTGAATCATCCTGTATATACAATTTACAAAATTATACAAAAGTACAATGATATGTAAAAGAAAAACAATAAAATAAAATTGGATTAAAATATAAAGTACATAATTAATAACAAATTAAATAGTCAATAAACAAATAATAAACATATGGGGTGCTAATGATGCTGCACAGTATTTTATTGTCAACTACAGTATATGATTTACAACCTTAGGAGGTTAAACAGTGCTATCCATGGTTCTGGTATATCTAGCATGGGAGAGTTGCATGGTGACATTGTTGAGATGTAAAGAGATTTCCACAAGAATAATGTTTTTCGATCCCCACAGAGTTTTAGAAGGAAAGTTTGTGACCAAAGTGGTTCAAAGTTACTCTGTGTTAGCTCTGTTGTACATTTACTATGTACCCCATCATCATAATGTTCTGCAAGACGGAGGCAGAGCATTCTAGTTAATTTCCAATTTATAATAATTTCAACCTAGTTAGTGGATTTTGTAAGCGTATAGCATATACCCTAGATTTTTCATAGTGTGTAACTTTGTCTCTATCATTACAAAGCATCCTATGCAATATGGTCTGGGACACTAATAACAAAATATAGCCAAATTTTTTGAAAACACAATCCCTGCTTAACAAAGGATGGTCCATGTAGAGAATGGCTAGTGTTATGTAAACCAATTCCTTCTTACGATATAAAATGAATGGTGGAAACAACATGCTTTTGACCCAGTTGACTAGATGTTTGAACTTGGCTAAAGAATAGCCAGCATTGCAAATTGCTGATTTAAGAAGGGAAAGCTCCTCATCTTTAAGTGATTGGTTGGAAGGATATAAGAATGTCCTACGTATCCTATAATAGTCAAGTTTTTATACCTGGAGGGTTGAAAAGCTGAAAGGAGGTTCACCAAACTTGTGATACACAGAAAGTAAGATTCCATTGTAGTAAATCACATGGTTTGTGATAAAACACCTTCCAGCATCATTAGCTGCCATAAGTGTTTATTATTTGTTTATTGATTATTTAACTCGTTATTAATTATATACTTTATATATTAATCCAATTTAATTTTATTGTTTTTATTTTACATATCATTGTATTTTCGTATTATTGTATAATTTTATAAATTATATATATATGTAATTTACATCACAAGCATGTGTGGGGCAAGCGATTTGAAAAATCATTAGTTCCTACTCAGGTTCTATTGCTTGAATTTAAATGTTGTGTTCTCTCTTAATGATTTGCCTGAAGAGGACAGTTGTATACTGTTGAAAGTACTTACATAATAAATTCTTTTTGTGTAATGCTGACACACAGTGCTGTACGTTATATATTGTTAATAGTATTTGGCATGTATGAATATTTAAATTTAAATTATTTACACTTAGTGGGAGCAGCACATGTTATGATTGAGATCCCTGTTAGCCAGCAGATGCAGATTACTACTACATGGCTTAGTAGCCATGAAGCTGCCAACTTTAAACTAGTTGCAACAGGCTTACTAAGAGGCTTAGAAACAGCTAGCTGTCTTGGTGGAGAATCTCCAACAGATATCTCATGCACATTTTTATATTCAAAAACCAAGCTTGAATTTTAACAGAAAAATATATGATTGAGATATACAATCCCCAATGCAGACACAAGGCTGAGTGCAATAGAGCATTCATCTGGGTATCTTTCAGCCCTTAACTTGATGCCTCCCATCTTGGCATTGGTGAATGCCCCTCTTATTGGGACTGGCCATGACTCATCTGAGAAACTCCCACTGAGACACAACACAGATCACACAATGAGGGCTTCACAGTGTACTTAGGTGCAGAAATCTATTTCATAATAACAATATTCCTTTTCTTTGATATCTCACAGACATGTCAGGAAAAATTTTGAACTTTTAACCAGCTTAAGTGAGACTGGTCCACCTTATCCTGGCATTGATTAGTTGTTTATGTTTTGCTTCGGTCATTTAGATATTTTTTCTTTCACTTTCTTCAGTTTCAGATAGCATTGTCTTTTCCTCCACTCTCTTAATTATATCATATATCATTCTTTTTGGAATGCCCATACATTTAAAATGTTTCATGGTTAAAGTTTCTCCATTTTCAGATATCCACTGAGAAAATGATCAGTGATATTTCTATGTTTGTTTTCTTTTATGCCTTATATTTCTAAGTCAAATAATTTTAAAAAATATATAAAAAATTCATAACTAATCAATCAACTTGCATGAACAAAAGATCTGCATGTTCAGGTTTTTTTTTTGTGCTTGCATTTACGGTTCAGAAAAAATGGTGGAATTTATTCTGAATTTTTAGTTTATACATCTATAATTACAGAAATTACTAAAAAATTCTTAATATTAGCTTTTCATAAAACTATTCTATTAAAAAAGAAACTTAAGAGATTGAAAACATTTGCTCTAAATGTTAATTTAATATCTAAACCAGATAATTTTATCAGTTCAAAAGATCTGAAATTTGCTTTTAAAATGATTTCTTTTAAAAATTTATTATATTTAGTTTATTTTATTATACATAAATTATTAATTATATAGTCTATATTAATATTAAGGTATTTGAACTAGAAGAATTTCGGCAAGAAAGGCTTCACGAGCTTGCAGTGTTAATTCAAAAAATATGGAGAGGGTGGATGCAGAGGAAAATGTATGTTCAAATGCGTCAGAAGCAAGCATTAATAGCAAGTAATCTTCGTAGATGGAAGGTAAATATGACATTTATATATTTAAATTTTAAATATTCTATGGATCAAATGTAGAATTTGAAACAGAATAATTCTATTATGATGATACTTTTCTATTTTGATGTTACTTTTTACATACAATGTATTGTTAAGTAAATTTGTTGCTAAATTTTGAAGGTTTTAAAAAATCTGATGTTTGGTTTTTTAAAATATCTATTCAAAACTAGTTAGAGATTTTGTTTATTTTTTATTGATTGCAATGAAATTTTGTAGTCTTTTATGGTAAATTTTCATAATTATAATTGAAAGTAAACAATAATAATTTTTTAAGATAATAGTCATGTCTAACATCTCCAAACAAACTTAAAACCATTGTTTCATATACAGTTGACTCATCTTAAAACAAACACTGATAAAGTCAATTCTTGCATTAAAACAAATTTTGCCATTGGTCTGGCTTTGCCAGGCCAATGGCAAAATTTGCATTGCAAAAAAAATTGTTTTAATGCATTTTTTGCCATTGCAAAATTTGCAATGGCAAAAAATGCATTAAAACAATTCACAAGAATGACAAATTCTTGTGAATTCTTGTGAATTGTTTTAATGCAAGAATTCATAAGAATGACAAATTTTGTAATTGTTTGAAAATTGTTTTTGTAAAAACACAAAATTTGTCATTGGCCTGGCTTTGGACAATGACAAAATTTGTCATGTTGCAAAACACCATTGTCATGTTAATTTTCATTTGATGAAGAAAACAAAAATTTTACCAGAATTTTTAAAATCAAACTAAAATTACCTTCACAACCCCCAAGAAATAACCCTATAGTCAATAATGGTTGCTTTTTACACTTTTTGACATGAACAATAAAAGGTGGTACTGTAGAATGTTCTATTTTGAGTAGACTAGATTTTCTCCTAGTAAGCATGTAAAGTACTATATTTAGTTTGTTGCTCTACAACGAATTTTTCTTAAAGAGCCGGGACCTAACGGGTACTTTACGCGGGTTCACGTTTGTTAGTTGCCAGGCCTGGACTTTTAGCGTGCACTGAAATAAATTAAGGACAAAGTTAGTCACAAAAAAATCTCAATAATAAATGTTTAATCAAGTCTAACAAATACTATGTACAAGATTTATAAAAACAAACAACAAATTTATTAAATCAAAAATCAAATCACAATCAACCCGACAAACTTATTTCTTATTCTAACTTAAAACTATTCCCCTTGGAATTCCGACAAAACAAAATCCAATTCTTAACTTAAATACAAATTCTCTTATAACTATCAATCCTAACCGTCACCTCAATTAATACTCGGAACCTTTTTCTTCTACTCAAGACTTTTCTATTTTCAAATCATCAAAATCGAACCTTCAATCTCCTACTAGGACTTCCTATTCGACACCTTGTTCACTGCTACCAGCAGACCAACACTTTCGGTTCAGGAGCTCACCTCGTCTGTCTTCACTTGAGCTACTGTACTTATAGTCTGAGGTGACGTCACAGTTCTAATTGAGACACTCCCCTCATTTACATATCTACACGTAACATTCTTGTTTTCTCTTCGTTATCTGGTAGCTTATTTCTCGACAATACTTTGTTAACCTTTTACAGCATTTCTTTAACAATTATCGGGATGTTTAGTTAAAGGTTACACAAGTTCCTAGAAAGTCTATTGGGGTGTCCCCCCCTTCAGTGCGGACTTACAATTCTGCCGCTCGGGCGTGCACGTGAGTGCAATGCTAGCTATGGCGCTATCGTTTCGTCGTCGGTGAGTTGGTTAATCTTTTATCTTCTCGTTTTGAACATTCTGGGGTGATGGGTGAGGAAACCTTCGTCCTAACTAAACATAAGCCCCAAACAAAAATATAATAAAAGCAAAATAAAAGTAAAATAAAAATAAAGCACGGGCTTGGTTCCTTACAAGCAAAGCCAGGTTCAACTTCTGATTATAGAGCAATTCAAACATCTGGTTTTATTGGACCATTCTACTACACTCAGAAAATAGAGGTCGAAGTTTAAGGACACCCATCTCTTTAAATGGATGCAGTCCCATGCATACACATGCTAGTTTATATATTGGAGAGTGCAAACAATGATGCTAGGTTTGGCTACTGTTTTATTTTTTGGGTGACAAAAATATTTTATACTTTTTCAAACAATATTTAACAGAAAAATATCATGGATTTCTTTTAGCTTTGTTTTTTTAACCACTCTGATATGCTGCTCCACATTTAAATAGTAAATACTGTCTCCTCATTTTGTTTGATTTTCAAATCATTTAGAACATTAGATAAATTTGATAATTTAGAAATTTTAAAAATTTATATTTATTTATAAAAACAAATTAATGTTATAAGATAATTTAACTGAATTTAAAATATTATAATTCAGAGATTTCAATCACCTATTAAGCCAAAACTCCCTAGATTATACAACCTTGGCCTTGATTCTGAAAATTATTGTTAGGAATTTTTGATAAAGGGAACTAAATACTGTTCCCCTAACAATTCATATTTGACAGGAAAATTTTACATTTTATAATAATCATTAAAAGAATGAAATAAAATTCCATAATATGCAACAAACTCTAATGTACAGGTTCTCAAACTTATTTTGACCACCACCCACTTTGAGATTAAAAAAAATCTAGTGCCCCCATATTTTTTAACTTACCTTTTTACATTACCATCTGTTGCGTATCTTAAAAACAGTTATTGCAAATATAATATTTAAACATGCATTATTATATGGATAGGATAGATAGGGTGTGATCCATATCATATTTCTGAGAAAAAAGAATGTTTCAATGAGAAGAAATAAAACTCATATTTAATCACTGAGCCTTCTACTGACCCCCTGAAAGCCTCCAGCACCCACAAGGGGGCATTATCGCCCACTTTGAGAAAGGATGCACTAATGTAAGAACCAAATTTAAGCCTGGATTCATGAAAGTGTCATATTATAACTTATGACAAATATTCATTGTAAATTGTTATACAACAAAATTTGGTAGTCACAAAACTTGTCATAACAAAAAATGTAAATAGGCATCATTATATACAGTGTAGAATGAGTTGTCATAAGTCAAGACAATTCAAGATGGCTGATGAGTATTTAGCTTTCTTGATCAATGAATTAGACCATTCATTGAAATTTTATCATTTACCTTATCTGTCGATTGAAGACGTTTTGTTAGTGGAATTAATCTGATGTTATCAAATGTTGAGGGAAACAATTTTTATTTCAGTTGAGAAACTGAAATCTCACTTGAAAAGGCATTCTTATCATGTATAGCATACTAATCTCTGAATTGTGTTAAAACTATAAATGGAATTATTATAATCAATTATATAGAAATTTCACTAACATTTTTTTCTTTGAAACACTTTTGTAATCTCCCCATTTACATCAAATTTCATCTGCTTCTACATATACATTACTAACACTAATCACTTCTTCACAAATTAATCTCCAACAATTACCTTTTCTGTGAGAATATAATAATAATAACTCTCCCGTGGTCACCACCTGGTCATGGTGGAAGAGACCAGTAATTTCACTGATCCATAGGGCAATGCAGGGTGGAGCACAAAGTCCTGATAGGGACACCCATGCCAGTAAGGTCTATGGGGAGAAATGAAGCTGAGTGACCATACCCACATTCTGTGGAGATATTTATCTTGGTAGTAACCAGATCTAAGTATGATATTAGCTTGGACATTGCGAGGGTTAACAAGGTCCGTGTTCATGGGTTATTCAGAGGCTCATGTTTGAAAAATAGGCCACAGTCTCCCTTGGTTACTGGTGGCAAAAGCAGTGCTGGCCCAAGCATGGCTACTGCAATGCCCTCAACAGATGTGAGGAACCAACCTAGCCTTGGTGTTTCTGTGGCAATGCATCCACAGACCACAAAGGCTGGAAAACCAGGCAAACGGATGAAATGGACAACAGAAATGAATGAGTTTATCATCTGTATTTACTATGCAATCACAAAACTCAAAACAAACATGACAGCATACAGACAACAACTACACCATAGATTCACACAACAATATCCTCACCTTACTGTCACCGAACAAAGGGTTGTTGATCAAAAAAGAACAATTATACACAACAACCTTATCCCACAAACAACACTTGAACTTATCAAACAACAGGTTGCTGATCAAATACATCAACAGACAGAAACATTTAACATTATTAATGAAGATCACGTAACCTCTCAGGATAATCCAGCCACAAGCATTGATAATAGCACATATACAACAACTACAACTAATGATACTGCAGGCACTTCCCCATCCATCACTAATAACATAGACATAGAATTAGTTAATACACTGTTGTAATAAGCATGTGGTGAGGGTTGATTTCACAAAGAAACGGGTATATAAAACAAGTAAGACGTGCTTTATTATTTTCTGTGAACATATACAGGAAAGGTTCTTGTTGATTCCGACCTCCTGAGTCCTTACTTCAAACAAAAGAACAAACAACACCTTTTTCGATTCACAGTCGAGCAAGAACTTTCGCGATACAAAGAGATACTTAACTTCTAACTTAAACCTACTTATATCTAAAAAGGAAAAGGAAAACAGAGTTAGATTAAAAGAGAGAGACAGAAATATATCTTTAGGATGGAACGGGTACCCGAGTTGGCGATTGGGGTGGCGGCTGCTGGATGACTTCGTCTTGGGAATTTTCCTTTTGGGGACGGATCGCATGCGATAATCAAATAAAAA